CTCGTATCAACATCCAACTCAGTTACCTTGACTACTTCTGCCTCTGCTGGGTTGCCTCCCCTCTCGATCTCGACCGTCACCGTGAATTGTTCCGAGTCTACCTTCAGCACTGCTACCGTCGCCACGCCGACCATGGCTACTTCTGCTACTCAGGTGGATCCTTGTCCAGATCCGACACGTAAGTACCTACCAGGGCTGAGCGACCATCTTTACCGTCAGAGCTAATTCCCTCGATCAACAGTTCCCGCTTCTACTAGCAGCGATACGCATACTCTTACCATGACCGTCACCCGAAGCACCGGAACTGCGGGCGGCGTTGCCCACACTACGGGAGCAACCGTCACTCACCCTAACCCGAGCTCACCTCCTGTCACGACTGCCGGCTCTCCACACACGAGGAGTGAGCTGAGTCGAATCCATATCGCTCTTGGGTGCCTGGGGCTTGCCTTGATGGTCGTTTCTGGATTCCTCTGATCTCATTTTGAAATATTGCTGTGGATGGAGCCTTCCCTCGGTTTTGATGATATGCCGAGGAGGGAAGTAAGGGACGAAGTAGGAAAAGAGGAGCATATGTAATGAATATAATTTGGGAATATTGGGTACGCGCTCTGCTGGACCATGGTATTGTCAACCAGTTCACTGCTGGTGAGAAGTTGCGGCTTCACAGGAGAGCGGGACAGACCAACAAACTCCAGTGGGAGCCTCGTGGAAATAATTCAGGGGCGTATGGCGTCAGTTTCTTGTAATGGGGGGAAGTAATATTCACCAAGGTCTACTCCGTCTTACTCGATTTCTGAAAGTGGTCGTTCTCCTGCGTAGATATTGGTTACTTGGGTGGTGGGTAGTACAGCTACGATGTACTTCTCCACCGTCAGACTCTCCCGTTCCCGTCTTACTTGCGAGGAGGTCTGCGATGTAGTTGTGATGCCTAAGAAAATTTCTCCCCTTGCATTGGGTAGCCACCGGGCTGAGTCCTTACATAACTTCTACATAGCTGGCAATATAGTAATCGTGAAAGTCTCGGTTAGCCGGGTTGGGGTGTTAAGTTTAGGGAGTCGCACTTCTAGAGTATTCAAGGATCTCGACATATACCATAGCCATACCCCGTTTCCTCCGGTACTTTTCAAGCCGGATCCTCCTTCACATCGGTTCTCCTATTTTTATCGTCACAAGGGGGCTCTGGACTTTTGGACATGATTATTGCGGCCGTCAGCTTTCATAGTGCAGCCCCCTTTCGATGTCCAAGGGTGCCATACTGGAATACCGAGTTTCCATCTAGCCTCGAAGGTATCAAGAGTGCACGGCATAGCAGAGTTATGAAACACATGAAATCATATCAGATTCTAGGAGCGTATTTCCCTTCTTACAACCTTCACCCCCGCGGGATTGTGGCAGCTTATGAGTTCAATTAAGAAACATGTAGAAACATTGGGTATCACGAATCTATTCGGTGGGTTATTCCCGGGGCGAGTTTCGGCCCTTGGCCGGACTCGGCTTGAAACGATAAGTAGATCATCCGCGTGAGCCGTGTAAACTGCACCGGAATAGGATCCGGCACCAGTGTCAGCATTTCTCAAGGCGCTCGATGGAGATAAGGCATGCGATCAGGTCCATTGTTCTGTAAGTGACATGAAATCCATACGCGGTAGAAAATGAAATCCATACGCGGTAGAAGAGAGCGTAAGATGCGTGAGTTATTGTGCAAACCATAACGACATATGATGTCCCGTTAGGGCCCCGATGTTCCACCTCCAAAACTGAAAACCCCATCGATAGATTCGCCAGCGTCGACTTTTCGACACCCCTTTCGAGCCTGCCAGAGGACAGGAAGCTCTCGAGTAGAGCAAAGCACGCACCAACCGTCTCCCATTAACTAGCCCAACCTTATCCCAACGACTTCCCCATCACCGCGACTCATATGCGTAGCTTAAAGTCAGTTGCACGAAGCCTCTTTGGCGGAGGCCCCTCCTGCTCTGTTTGGTTCGAGTCGTCATCCGCCCGACCGAAAGTCTCAAGGGCCTCCCGCTCGCGCTTCCTATTTTCCGCCGCCGCCTGTCTACCTTTCTCCCGGCTGTAGCTACTGCCATGAACCTTGATGTCGTCCCATTTGAGGCGTCCTATAATACTCTCGGGCGGAATATACTGCTCCAGCAAGTAGTCGTTTTTCAGGTATGGGATGGAAAAGAGTTCGCACTTCAACGAGCGATACAGATCTCCGATGTGCCACAAGCGGTTACGCTTATGGTCCCATCCTTGTCCGCTTGAACGGAACTTGTAAATGGTTATTCCACTCATCCCCTTCGCGTCGTAGATCTGGCAGATGTTGCACACCTTGTCTCTATCATCGGTTACAGATAAGAAGGGGCTTGGGTCCCGGCAACGCCATCGTAGGTGCTTCATCACCAACATCTGAAAATGGAGAGGTATGATATCGACAAGGCCATATCCTCGTGCCTTGATGCCATCATGTGGTTGCCCGTCGTGGACAACGCGGTAAAGAATCTCGGGCCGTCTTAGTCCTCCGAAAGTAGGAATCGTAACCGACTCCTCCACCATGGCTAGACCTTTTCGAAAACCGCCGCCCTGGAAGAGCACTTCAGCTTCCGGCAGCTCGGGATAGATCTTCTGAAGCTTCTCGTGCATCTCAGGCTTCATCCATAGCTTGAATGACTTGTCTTCCTGGGTCTTGCTGTATACAATCCAGGCTTTGGCTTTGGGGTGATCAGCTTGATACTCAACTTTTTCTGTGTAGCGAGGTACCGATACGTTCTCGATCGGGACTTCCACCGTCTGATCTGTCTCGCCTGATGTGTCTTTGCCACTGCCTTGCTTTACTCTATTGAAAAAGGAACGCGGATCAGAAATGTCAAGGTTAGATCTCCCCTCCATGATGCCTACAGAGCGGATCCTGTACGATACACGTGTGAGTGAAGAAGAAGACTTGAACTGGTGTTGCTTCTCCTGTTCGAGGAAAGGAGGCGCAAGCTGGGTCTGCTCCGGTGGTAATTGCGGGCAAAGTAAACCGAGTATGAACTTTCGAAGCGAATCTTGTAGCTGTTGCCTCATGCTGTACTGAATCTCACCGTTCCTGCCACAAATGGTGATAGACTCGGGGTGATACTACTGATGGAGATGATGGCGCTGTGAGAAGCTCCTGAAAGGACTGCAGGTGGAAAGTGTAATTGTCTATCCATCCACCCTTGACCTCGCTGAGGACTTGAACGTATAGATAGTCTCTGGTTAGTAGGCCGAGACTCTAGATTCTATCAGCACTGTCGATCTGGAGGGCGTAGGCCGTGCTATTTCGGGTGTCAAGGTGAGCACCGAACTCCTAGGGGGCCGGTGGTGAAGGAATGAAGTTGCCAGGCAAGATCATCAAGTCGTTAAGCTTGCCTGGCGAGCTTGGTCTTTGCAGAAATCTTACTCAGTAGTCATTGGTAGGGAACGGGGCGATGTGTTATTGTGAGTATTGGTCAAGGAGGGAGAAGATGTATTTTTGGTGAGAAAGATATGGTAAGGCTCACTGGCTTTGCTTTGATACAAGGCAGCAGCCCCTGAGTTACGAAAGGAAGGCCAGAGTGATAGAGGCTAAGACCCAGGCTTGCCTTACAAAAGGGACGATTCGGTTGCTTGATGTTCTGGTATCCGGGCTTCGTCATAGATAGAAGTATCAGGCCCTTCTATGCCAAGGAATTGGAACGATTTTGTGGGCATATATCCCTTCCACACAGAGGCGTGCAGTTGCTTCTTGATAGCTGTCTCTCGAGTTGAGGCAATCGTCAGGTGTGAGACTCAGCTGAGCAGTCACCGGGAGAAGTAGCACCATAGAGAAGGCCTTCTAAATCCAGGCGTGGACCTTGATCGTAACTAATATAAGTGAAGCAGTAGCGGTTAGACGAAGGCAGGCCACGCCATGAGTGAGAAACTTGTGAGCTCAGGGGGCAAGAGTTATTCATTTTCTCGAGTCGCCCTGTGTACATAATGATTCAGGCCAGCTCTACCATTGACTTCCTGTGGTCGTAAAAGACTGCTAGCAAATGCTTAAGAACCATCAGCAATTGCCAATGTCCGACTCAAGAGAGATAAATACCAAGGCAGCTGACTTCAAGGGCAAAAGCACACATTATCTGCCTTCTGTTGGGTTTCATATCTGATGGCGTGGTCATCTCAGACTCATCTGTATCTGTCCTCGGAATGGCTACTAGGTAAGTGAGAAAGAAGCAGTGTTAATTAACTGTACAGGTCCATGAGCAAGCATTCGAAACGAATATAGCTAGAGTCCCACGTTATGTGTTATCATGCTTTTGGGAGTTCTCGCCAGCAGTGAAAGCAAGTCCATATAAATACCAGTGGTACTTAGAGCCCGCGGCTCAGAGAATTAAGAAAGGGGCGAGCGATGCGAGAATACTGCTGCTCCTGTTCAAACAGCATGCCCCGCCTCTGTTGACTCTCTCATAGAAAGAGAGAGAGGTCGAAACATAACTTACGATAGCATCGCAGTGGTGTCTGTCACCACGGCACTTAGTTAGTACTTAGTTCGGCATTTGTTATGTAAGTATATATATACATAGACATGCTGGTAGGAGGAAATAACTATACCAAGCTCAAGCATATCCTAAAGGGTGGACACACGCGCAACATTCTGTTGTTCATGCATTCATCACCGTAGGAAGCGTACCTTGACTTTGTCAGATTTAAGGGGCACTGTAACGTATGTAGTAAGTACCTATTAGGTAAGCAAGCAAGTAAGCAAACTTTGGCGAAATCATCTTCAGGTGCGTTGCATCCCTGGCATGCACTACCAACGTAGATAGAACCTGCCTTCCAGAAAAAAGAGGCAGCAAGCCCAATCAATGACTGACTACCTTAAGTACCTAGGTATCTATCTGTATGTATCTGTCGTCTGCAAACTAGGCCAAAGATGATGTGATGGATCATGCCATGATGAATGATATTGCATGCCGTGGGGAAGGTGCAAACAAAAAGTTGAAAAAAGGAAACGACGCCTGCAGGATTCGAACCTGCGCTCCCGAAGGAAATGCCTAACTTGCTATGGACCGGAAATTCCAGAAATTCCGGAAATTTCGGAAATTCATAGCAGGGCATCGCGTTAACCACTCCGCCAAAGCGCCCAGACGAATCACCGAGTGATGGTTGGAGAATTGCTCTATTTTGTAACCTATGTAAGCAAGCGCAAGAAGGTGCGATTCTTGTCGTCACCTGTGGCAGGGGTCAATGAGCAAACGAGACTAAGCTGTTTTAGGCCAGGTGTCAATGAGAGCCTGCGCCAGATATCCGCACAAATGCCGCCAGTACTTACAGTGGTCAGGACTCTCTCTGCCTGCCAAGCCTTCTTTCGATTCAATTCGGTTCCTCGCGCTTCAAGACACGGCCAACGCTATTTCGTCAATATCTCGAAGTCAGAGAGAGTCCCCCTTTCTCGTCACTCATTTTCTTCTTATTTGTATCTGGCGACATCTACAACCCAATTGCCGGTACTCTTTTTTCTGATAATATCTCCTTCTTCCTTTGCACCAGTTCCACTCCGCTGTTCCAAATCACTTCGTCACCACAGTCGATCGATTTGTTGTTGAATTGATTGCACCCTAAACCCCGGCGGCGGGACAGCAACAGATCTCGCGATGACTCGGGCCCAGCAGACTGTCTCCCTTGGCCTTTTGGTCACTTCTGTACGACCGATCCATCCACGTTGCCCAATCATCCCGCATGACCTTGGCTGATCAATCATGCGTCCATCGTGTAGCTCTACCTGGCTCTCTTTCTACAATTGATTCCGCTACCCGAGCTGGCCCAGACTGAGATCGTTCCTGTTGTACGTCTAGATCTATTCTTCCCCGTCCTATAGCTCTTCCTTCGCTCGGGTCTCCTCCGACGGCCTGTCTGCAAACCGTGGAAGCGCGACTAGCGATTAGCGATCGATGTGCCATCTGCATTGGGTCAATCCCTATTCTCCCCATCACCCCCTTAGCCACCCGATTCTTGCTCCTTCGTTCTACGAGCAAAGCGGTGCTAATTATGAATTTCTTCGATTGCAGCTTCCCTTCTGGGCCCTCGTATCCTTCGGTGCATTCCTTCTCTTCCGACTCGGCTGGAACGTCATGACATTCAATGACGTGCCCGAAGCACACAAGGAATTGATGGCCGAGATTGATCTTGCGAAGGCGGACCTCCGTGGGCTCGGTGTCGACGTAGATTGAAGAGGTAACGTTGAAGAGGTGACGATGAAGGTCAGGGCATCTACCCCTCGGTGGCAAGGAAATGCGATGCGGGCGATGTATCGAGATACCATGCGGCATGATGTACGAGTCGTAATGTAGGAGGCGCGCAACATTGCGAGTCCATAACCAAATTCTGCCATGAAACTCAACAAATTGTGGGGATTGTGTACAACTTTGCTCCCATTAACGCGATGTTAAAAGATGTATACGACGTGCTCGCTGCGTCTAGGAGACCTCGTCAAATAACCGAAGCCCGAACACAAGTTTTCATCATGGTATCTAGACTATGCTTTTACACGGACACTGTCCAGGTAGGAAATTATTACTTTTCCTACCTACTATTGTCCCGTTCATCTCTTACGCTCACCCACAAGCAACGCGACAACTGTCTTCACAGCATCCATTGGGTTCCCAGTTTCTTGAACCAGCTTATCAAACAACACCGGAATTTCGGCCAGGCTCCCTTTCACATCGCTACCATGCCCTATATCACAAACTGTCAGCTGTAATTCTGAATGCGTCCGGTTGGATGAGAGCAGACACATCATGCCAAGCAGCAGGAGTGGAGGACGGTAAACACTGGGAGAGGCACTGGGAAGGGGGCTCACATTCGGGAGGGGCACCAAGCGCGACGCCCACCTTGCTTTGCCCCTCGCCAGTCCAGTCAAAACTGATATTCCACTGGATACGAATGGTTGGTATTTCTCTGTCAATAGCAGCAACATCGTGAGGGGACAATCCCAGGTCGAGGCTTGTTCTGCCGAGATGTGGGAGCAGCTCCGCTTTGGTGAATGAGGACTTATCAGACTCGAATCTACCAAGCCCCCTAGTAGCGTCTCCCGTCTCTTGATCATCGTCAGCATCCTCCCCAGCAGCCACACGTGTTCGTCTACGGCGACCCTTCCTGGTGGCCCTCCTAACTTCTTCCGCACACGTCTGGCGACCATCGGCAGTTCCTAGGTCTCTCTCCACCTCGCACCAAAAACGGGCTCGTTTCGTTGCCAGTCGAACCCATTCACTCATGGCCCATGTAACGACAGTGACGTTCCTGGTTAAGGCGCTATTACTACCCCCTTGAAGAATCTTCTCCACAAAAGGACCCAACTCTCCAATGGCATGGGGGTCGAGACGGGGTACGACGAATTCGGTAATAGCCCAATTTTGGGTGTTCACCATCATTTCGAGCTTTGCGCCGAAGATACCGGGTTCCGAGCAGGATACGCTGATTGCGTGTCGCTGCATCAATGGCTCGGCATCCGCTATGTCTTCGCGAGGGCCTATCGAGACTGTGGACGTGAAGGTGAGTGGCGTGAAAACCTGCAAATAAGGCAGCTCCTCCTCGGCTGTCATCAGAATAGGGTGGTGGGAAATCGGAAGTGGCTTCTCCGGCTCCCTGTCTTCCATCGGGTCATCGAAGAGAGGCACCGTAGTCGCGGGATCGCGAAATGGAAGAAAGGAGATGGGATTTAGCGCAGCATCGAGCCATTCTTTGATCGGGTCGGGTGAAGGCTCTTTTTCTACTGGAAGAGTATGTCGGCGGAGAAGATCAAGCAGACCATCAGCGTCGGACCGATCGAGCTCCAACGATGCTCGGGGTGTCTCTCTGTGTTGCCGATAAAGCTTATCATTCGCCCGACTCAGCAGCCTGAGATCTTTCTCCAAATGTGACAACTGAGTCACTAGTGAGTCCCGTAGAGATTTCTTGTCTATTAGTGGATCAGGCTCTTCAACGGTCCTAGCTGGATGAGATTTTCGCCTCCTTTCCTTCTTCGTATCCTCGCTCCTTAAAGCCTTCTCGGCTACCGGAGACAGAGCTCTTGGATCTGTAGTTTCTTTACTGAAGTCAGACGGTCGTAGAGGTGGCTGCTTTAAAGGGGAGCTCTTCATTTTCCTCGGACGCTTAGAGGGGGTACTGTGAATCCCCCTAGGCGATGTATTGATAGAGGAAGGATCAGAGAGCCCTTTCTGCGTTGGCGTTGGGGGAAGTTCGGGCTCTTCTGCTTCGGTTTCAGGGAGTGCGCCTGGTGGAGGGGAACGTCGAAGACGTCTTCTGCCCCTGAAAGGGTCTATCAACTCCTCTTCCTCTCCCGACGGGGCTGGGAGTGGCCTCGGTGATGGTCTGTTGGGTGTTCTTCGTGGCTTCGCAGCCATCCTTCCTGTGACACGTCGCAGTACGCTGCTGGTCTGAGATGGGGCTGGGTCCCGGGCACCAAGATCTCCTTCCTCTGAGACATTCTCTGCTCGGCTCGTCTCGGAGGCGCCCTCTAGCTGGGCGGACAGCAACTCGGCAACAACCCCATGACTGGTAGGACTATCAGGCTCCGAGGCTGTTGGGGCATCCTGGGAGCGTTGTGGTCTTGAAGCACTCCTTCGCTCAAGTATGTCGGGGTTCGATCGCGCAAGACTGGCCTTTGTCGGTGATAAGAAAGATGGCCGGTTGTGCCTCGTGGAGCGTCTGTTTACTCCGTCAATTGGCGTCGATGATGGATTGGAGTCGCCGGCGATGGGAACATTGGTTGTCGGTGACGTCTTCCGGCGTTTTGGTGCAGATCCTTCCATCATGCTCCCACGCGACAACCCAATTTCATCTCTACCTCCCCAGGGTCTTCTCCAGCTATATTTTCTAAATCCCGCTTCCCACCTGTGACGGTGTGACCTGTTCGCAATTCCGGCAAATCAGATATCACAATTTGAGACGTGGATGCCTCGTGGATGTCGCCGCCTATAGATTGTTCGTTCCCCGGGAGGGTTCATTGACCAGATAAAGATTGACACTGCGTGGCAGGTATGTTATGTATGTACGCATGTATGTACATAAATAAGTATGTCCAGTATGAGGCTTCACCTCCTCTCTGCACAAAACGCGTTCTCTCAATTACCCCGGTTGTGGTTGACGCGCCTGCGCCTGCCCCACCACTGACCTCTTATCTTATCTGTTAAGCTTCAGATACCCACCTTTCACGTGGCTCTTTCACGTCCATGGATCCATAGATGCAGATGACGTTACCTGAGCCCATACCTAGGTACTTCCATGACCTAGTATGTACTTATGTATCTACCGGCATCCCGCCCTCTGCTCTATTTCTGTTTCCTCCCGTTCAGCAGACCCGCGCCACATTTTTTTTGTTTGACTTGTAGTCAGTCCTTCCTAGACTTGTTGCACTCATAGTAATACCTCCTTAGATACCTAAATTTCTACATCGCCGGATGAACACAAGCGCAACAATGCCGCTCAACGCCCGGTTCCTAGCGAGGGCCACACGTTTGCCATCCCTCATCAGGACAACACCGCGAAGCCATCGAGCATTCGCTTCCGCTGGCGGTAAACTTCCTGGCGGCACCCCGGGCGAGACCTCGGAGCAAGCCGTGCCCATAGGTCCCTATTACGAATCCATCCTCATCAAGCCCCAACCCGTTCCCGAGGTCAAGCCCGAGGAACCACCGACCTCATCCCCCAAGTCGCCACGAACCACAACCAAGAAGACGCCCGCCAGTAACAAGAAACCGGCCAAAGATAGCGATGCGCAAGCAGCCCCGGCCTCCTCGTCGCCATCGTCCGCGGCTACAAACATTGATGAGGCTCACCCAGAAGTCTCTTCTACACCCGCGACGGCTCAGGAAAAAGCCCGAATCGTATTCGGTTCGCGCCTGGTCGGACCAGCCGAACGCGCCGAGCGATTAGAAGCAATGCGCAAGCGCAGTACATGGGTCGCGGGCATCTTGGTCCCACCAAGACCCGAGGAGCCCGACAACTGCTGCATGAGCGGGTGTGTAAATTGTGTCTGGGAGCGGTACCGGGACGAGATGGAAGAGTGGGCGACAGCGTCGACCAGAGCTGAAGAGGCGTTGCAGGCGCAGCGACGACAGGGCCCTGTCGATGTGATGGGAAGCGT